ATAGTCTGGGGACGATTTTGTGAGTATCTTTTGACAACTTTGGGGTGTTGTTGGGGTATTCTTAGTTTTCGTCCAAAATCCCCCCCTGTAGGGGGGCAGGCCCGACCCAAGGCAAGGGTCACGAGAGCGAGGCGCAGGCGGCATCTCGACGCCTGGGCTGCCGCCGTCGCTCGACGCCGGTGCGCAGCAGAGGGCGAGAGGGCAGCACGGTGCACGGGGCCAGCAGCGCTGCGGTTGGGCTCCCGCGGCGATGGCGCGCCAGCGACGCCGACGAGGGCGCAAAAGCTCGAGATCCGAACGACAGAGGGGCGCGAGGGCACCGAGGGACGCGGAAAGGCCACAGGACCCGGCGGGATTCAGCCTTGAACGATCGGGTCCGCGATCGGCTCGAGGTCGGACGATCGCCGCGGTGTCCAGAGCCTTGGCGCGCGCCGACGCCGCACGAACCTACGGTAATCTTATTCGACCTTCGTGAATCAGCGCTTGGGGCGATGCCCACGCTGGCTTGCCCGAATGCTATGCTGCATTTGATGAGTAGGAGGAGGAGGAGGAGGAGGAGGTGGAGGAGTAGCAGGGGAAGGAGGGACAGGAGGGGGAGAAGTGGAAGGGGTAAGAGGGATATGGAGGCAACGGGGAGGAGGAGCAGCAGCAGCAGCCTGCATGCATCGGGCAGACACGGAGGTCCGCTTCTTGGAAAACTGGGGCACGCTGACGTTGCAAGGCCAGCAGAAGCAAGACTCGTCGGGCAAAAAGCCGCCGGGTCCGTGATCTCGGGAACGACGAGAAAGGACGACCTCGACGACCACGACGACGACGACGACGACGACGACGACGACGACGACGACGACAACGACGACGACGACGACGACGACGACGACGACGACGACGACGACGACGACGACGACGACGACGACAACAACAACAACAACAACAACAACAACAACAACAACAACAACAACAACAACAACAACAACAACAACAACAACAACAACAACAACAACAACAACGACGACGACGACGACGACGACGACGACGACGACGACGACAACGACGACGACGACGACGACGACGACAACCACGACAACGACGCGGGCCACCTCGTCTCGCCTCGCCGTGCCCCGCCTCGGCAAGAGATGATATCTGCACTGCGTGCCCGCCGCGATGCGGCAGCGTGCGGTTCCGTGTCGGCGGGCCTCGACGGAAGCGGGTGCGCTTATGGATGCCACGACAATGGACACCCTAACAGTCCTATCCTTGAATTCAAAATGTGTTAAAGGGTCGGGAACATGTTCTGAACATATATATATATATATATATACATGTTACGAACATGTTTAACACATGTTCTGGACATCTGGAAAATATGTGGCAACCTGCTTCCTCTCCATTCATCGTCCTCCACAAGGGTGTGCGCAGCTGTGCTGGCCCTCGGGAAGAAATTCCTGATCCAACGCCCCCGCCGCACATGCCCCAAGATGGCCCCAAAAAGAGCCCCAAGAGGGCCCCGAGAGGACCTCAAGAGAGCTCCAAGACGGCTCTCCAAAAGACCCCCGAGAACCTCTCTCACAGCAACGCTGCAATTCGCCTGGCAGACTGTTTCTGAATGGGCTGGTGGGGATACTTTTTTTCGCGGCCGCAGGCCAAGGGGCCGACAGCGTCAGCAGACTTAGCTCGGGCTACGAATAACCTAATTGCCGGCGCGCGCTCCGAGCAAGGCAAAGAAGACCTACCGCCGAGGGAAGCAGCTGCGGCGAGGCTGAGCTGCGCCGGGGGGAGAAGCTGCCAGCTGCGGAGGCGGCCGCTGGTGGGGAAACTTTTTGATTAGCAGCCGCAGGCGAGAGCGCCAGCGGCGATTAAGGTCCGAGCGGGCCGCGCGGGGGCCTAATTACCTAGCGCGGAGCAGAGCAGGACCTACCGCCAGGGGAAGCCTCAGCGCCGGGGCTGCAAGAGGAGCCGGGGGCGCGGACTGCGAGCTGCCAGGGCTGCCAGGGAGCTGCAAGCGTGCTGGTTGGGATGCGGGAAGCGTCAAGAATTACTGATCCGACGCCCCCGCCGCACATGCAAACGCAACACCGCCGCCCCCACTGGGTCAAGAGCATGATAGCCGGGGGGGCTGGCCAATTGGCGAGGTAAAGACAAATATCAGGTGCCAACACCCTTCCGGAAACGGGATGGCAGCCCGAAGGCGGGCGACAGGTGTGCCTTACACGCTGGCCCTTCGACAGGGGCTCGTGAGGAATGTTGTAAGAGAAGTGGGCTGATAATCAAGCAATACAACCGGTGGCGGCTCTTACCTCGGAGCAAGACCTGACAACCCCAGCAAAGATCGTCTGTGCGTCTGCGCAGTTATTGGGCGTCGACTGCGGCTGCTGGATGCATACTGGGGCGTCGTCGCAATGTCAAGAACTGCCGCGCCAGCCTTCAAAAAGATCTGCACCGAAGGGCCCAAACCATAGCCAAGCTCGACAGTGGCTAGCAAGTGATCCCAGTGCTGCCTTGGACAGAACCGACGTGCTCCTTCGAATGGTGCCAAAGGCTGTGGGCGGTCGTGGAGCCGGGTCGGTCGTGGTTCCGCTCGTGCGGGGGGGCGGCCGAGGGGTCGGCTGCAAACAGGCGTCGGCCCGGGCGCACGCCGGATGTTTTTCCAGCGGGTGAACCAGTGGTCGGGCCCTGCAGAGGGGAAGGCCGTAAGTGCTTTACCAGAGAGAAGCCGATCCGTGGGGGCCGACGGCATGCAAGCACGCGGCCGAGCCTGGCACTTGGCCAGCCGGCTAGCGCTCGGGGGTGGGATGCCTGGCTTGGCCGATGCCCCGGTGTCAGCGGCGTCGCGCGAAGCGGACCCGTCGCAGCCAGGCGACCTGCGGGGAAGGACCTGGCTGCGGTGGGATCCGACTGCACTGGCTACACACGCGCACAGCTTCAGTCAGAGAGCATGCCGCGGGCCGCGACAGGACCTCAGAGAGCGAAAAGGCGAAGACGCGTCGCGAAGCGCGAGTCGGGCGCGCGGCACTCAGGCGGTACTCAGGCGGCAGCCGTTGAAGCGGCAGGCGGCGCAGGGTTGGGGCAGGTGCTGCCGGGTGGCTTGGAGGTGTGGGATGGAAGGCCTGCTGCGGAGAAGGGACAACTCTCACAGCACAACTTGCTGTCGTGGCAGCGATGCAGGGCGCAGCGCGCTCGAACTAGAACGGGCCACGTGCCACACGATGGCGCACTTCCTTTATACAACGCATGCCGACTCGGACCTGCATCCAAAAAGCATCGAAGACGCAACAAAATAGTATCAGAGCCTTCCGGCGTCGCAAGAATAAACTTAGCTGTCAGATGGCGGTGTCCACGGAGCCTCCTCCTCCTCCTCCTCCTCCTCCTCCTCCGCTCTTCTCCTCCCTCTATCTATTTCCCCCTCGAGCAAGGAAACCTAACCGCGCCAATCGTGACGTCCCACAGGAGCCGAGAGGACAAAGGCCAAGGCGGCTTCGAATGAGAACCGCGCAGTAAATGCAAACAGAAGGGGGAGTCCGAACTAATAACGTGCAAGCGCTGACGTAGCAGCTGGAAAAACCGCGACCCTCTCCTCCTCCTCCCCCCTCCTCAGGCTCATCACCACCATCCACTCCTACTCTCCCTTCTCCTCCTCCTCCTCAGAAGGAATGAAAGTATGTACGGGGCAGTCCTCGGTGGCTTTGCCACCTTTGCCGAAGCTCTTTCCACCCTGGGGCAAGTAGCTTCTGCCCTAACCGACATGCAATCTCCCGACATGCCGTGCCCATGATTGCGCACGATATGAGTTCCAAGAGCTCGCAGAGCTTGCTTCCCGATACCTCCTCGTCTCTCTGCACCTCCCTGTGTCTCTCCCTCGTCATCTCCGCCGCCCCGCCACCCCTCGCCTCCCTCCTCTCTGTCTCTCTGATTAATATCTCTATGCTTGTTCTCTCTCTTTCTCTCACACTCTCTCTCTCAACCTCTTTCTCTCTCTCCCTCTCTCTCTCTCTCTCTCTCTCTCTCTCTCTGAAATCTGTACACACGGGTCAATTTGTACAGAATTTTCCTTTGCCCTCTTTCCGGCTCTTGTGCCACTGTCGCGTTCCATTGAGGTGGCACTCTGGATGAACGGTTTATGCGGCCAAGCTAGCACCTGCGTAACGCACATCTTGTAATATACGAATACGCTTTCTCTCTGTCTCTCTCTCTCTCTCTCTCTCTTCTCTCTCTTTCTCTCTCTTTCTCTCTCTATCACAACTCTCCCTCCCGAACGCGCCAACAGAGCACCTCCGCTCGCACTCTGGCTCAAACTCCCTGGCGTCAGCGAACTCATGTCCTCGCTTCCCCCCTCGGCCAGGTGGCCGTTCCGGAGGCGCGCGCTGCGCCAGCAGCATGCCGCCAACACCATGGGGGGGACCGGTGAGAGGGGAGACGGGACGGGAACCGAAAGTGGGGGGGTTACCGCCACGCCACCATGCGTCCTCAACACCACGCCATCGAACAGACTGGAGCAGCATCATCACCCTTATCATCATGATCCTCATCATCATCAGCATCATCATCATCATCATCATCATCATCAACATCATCATCATCATCATCATCATCATCATCATCATCATCATCATCATCATCATCATCATCATCATCATCATCATCATCATCGTCATCATATCATCATCATCATCATCATCATCATCATCATCATCATCATCATCGTCATCGTTATCCTCCTCATCATCATCATCATCTAATCATCATCTAATCATCATCATCATCATCAGCATCATCATATGATTATTCTTCATCATCACCACTATCATCATCATCATCATCATCATCATCATCATCATCATCATCATCATCGTCATCGTCCTCGTCATCGTCATCGTCCTCCTCCTCATCCTCGTCCTCATCATCGTCATCAGCAGCAGCAGCATCTTCCTGATCCTCATCCTCATCCTCCTCCTCCTCATCATCATCACCATCATTCTCATTCTCATTACAACAGTCATCATCATCAGCAGCAGCAGCATCAGCATCAGCATCATCATCGTCTTCGTCAGCAGCAGCAGCATCCTCAGCCAAATCCTCCCACTCCTCATCATCAGTGCATCATCATCCTCGTCCTCATCATCATCATCATCATCATCATCATCATCATCATCATCATCATTATCCTCCTCATCCGACTCCTCATCATCATCATCATCATCATCATCATCATCATCATCATCATCATCATCATCATCATCATCATCATCTTCATCTTCATCTTCATCGTCGTCGTGGCCAGCAGCAGAAGCATCCTCAGCCAAATCCTCATCATCATCATCATCCTCATCCTCATCATCATCATCATGACCATCATGATCAGTGCATCATCATCCTTGTCCTCATCATCGTCCTCATGCCCATCATCACCATCATCATCATCATCATCATCATCATAATCATCATCATCATCATCATCATCATCATCATCATCATCATCATCATCATCATCATCATCATCATTATCATAAGCATCATCGTCATCATCATCATCGTCATCGTCACCGTCATCAGCAGCATCATCATTATCATCATCAGCAGCAGCAGCAACAGCGTCATCACCCATTTCATCCTGATCATCATTCTCATCACCATCATCGTCATCATCATCACCACCATCATCGTCATCGTCACCGTCATCATCATCGAAAACATGATTTTGGTCATCGTCATCAGTAGCAGCTGCATCATCACCCTCATCATCCTGTTCGACATCCTCACCGTCACCATCAACGATTCATCATCATCATCATCGTCACCATCATCATCATCATCATCATCATCGTCATCATCACCATCATATTCCTCATCATCATCATCATCATCATCAGTATCATCATCATCATCATCAGCATCATCATCATCAGTATTGTCATCATCATCGACATCGTCATCATCATCATCATCGTCGTCGTCAGCATCATCGTCATCATCATCATCCGCATCCGCATCCTGAGCATGATCATCATCAGCATCATCGTCGCCGTCCCATCCATCATTGTAGTCATCGTCATCGGCACTGTCATGATCATCACCATCAGCAGCAGCAGCATCACCCTTATCATTATGATCCTCATCCTCAGCATCAACATCATGAGCATCAGCAGCACCATCATCATCATAATCAGCAGCATCATCATCATCATCATCATCAGCAGCAGCAGCATCATCATCATCATCATTAGTTTCGTCATCGTCAGCATCATCATCAGCGCATCAGAATCATCAGCATCATAATGATCATCATCATCATGTTCGTCAGAATCATCATCATCAGCATCATCAGCATCATCCCCACCATCATCATCATCAGCAGCAGCTGTATCCTCATCATCATCATCATCATCATCGTCATCATCATCATCATCATCATCATCAGCATCATCATCATCAGCAGCATCACCCTTATCATCCTGGTCCTCTTCCTTCTCGTCATCATCATCAGCATCAGTCTCATTATGAGCATCATCAGAAGCAGCATCATCACCCTCATAAGCATCATCATCATAAGCAGCATAATCCTGATCAGCTTTATCATCATCATCAGCATCATCATCATCATCATCACCATCGTCAGCATCATCATCGTCATTATCAACTTCATCATTATCAGCATCATCAGCAGCATCAGTATCGGCATCGTAATCGTCATCATCATCATCATCAGCATCCTCATCCTCATCCTCATCCTCATCATCATCCTCATCCTCATCATAATCGTCATCATCATCGTCATCGTCATCCTCATCCTCATCCTCATCATCATCATCATCATCATCATCATCATCATCATCATCATTAGCATCATCAGCAGCAGCATCATTTCCATCGTCATCCTGATCCTCAACCTGATCATGATCATCATCATCAGCGCAAAATGCATCAGCGTCATCGTCATCGTCGTCATCATCTTCATCGTCATCGTCGTCAGCATCATCATCCACATCATCCACATCATCCACATCATCCACATCATCATCCCCATCATCATCAGCATCCTCATCATCATCATTATTATTATCATCATCACCATCATCATCATCATCATCATCGTCATCGTCATCGTCATCGTGGTGGTCACCATCATCACCCACCATTTGTAGCAGCAGCATCATCGCCCTTACTATATGTCCTGGTCCGCATCCTCATCATGATCATTATCATGATCATCGTCATCATCATCATCATCAGCATCATGACTATCATCTTCGTCGTCGTCGGCGTCGGCGGCGTCGTCCTCATCATGCTGATCCTCATCCTCACCATCATCATCATCATCATCATCATGACTATCATTATCATCATCATCATCATAATCATCATCATCATCATCATCATCGTCGTCGGCGTTGGCGACGTCGGCGTCGTCCTCATCATGCTGGTCCTCATCCTCACCATCATCATCATCACCACCATCATCATCATCATCGTCATGATCATCATCATCATCATCATCAGCAACATCATCATCATCGTCATCATCATCATTACCACCGCCAGATCGGACAGATTTCCCCATGAGAGCCGAGCCTTGTATAGCTCGATACCTCCATGATCAGCCACCGTGGCGCAGGGACAGTCCGACCCAGGAGAAGCCCAAAAAGGGAAAACTCGAACTGCCACAGAGAGCCCCTCCACCCCAAGATGGCCCCGATACCGCCAGCAGGCCCCCAGGAGGCGCCCAAGAGGCCCCAAAGAGGCGCCCAAGAGGCCCCCAAGAGGCGCCCAAGAGGCCCCGACACTGCCAGCAGGCCCACAAGAGGCGCCTAAGTTGTCCACGACCCAGGCACGCACGGTGGCGGGGCAGGCCGGTGCCAATACCCACATTTAGACACACCGCATCGCCTTGCAAGCAAGGACATGCACACGCACCTACATGTCCGCAAGCGTGCGCGCATTGCCTGGCCATTGAACTGCATGGCCTGTGTTATACTCAGCTTCGCTTGACCTAGCGTTGGCACAGACATGTTCTGCTCCGCAAGATAACACCGACGCGAGCCTTGTCGCCCTTCCCATCTTTGGCTTTCCCCTTGTCGGTAGCCTTTCCGCCTTTGCCTTCGGCTTTTCCACTACCCTTGTCCTGGCAAACCGCATTAACCGCCCTCTGTGAGGAAGAGCCAGCCGATCACGCGCAGACCCCAGGCTCAACAATTTTGCGCACACCCACAGCTGCACAGGGTAAAGCCTGCATCGTCACGCATCACAAATACGAATATGCAAGTTGACGCACGTGCCACGACAACCAGAATGCCCAAACAATGAAACAATGACCATAAATCCGCACATAGATAGGCAATGCAGCACGCACAAACTCCACCTCATGATCCATGATGTGGAAGTGGAGGAACCATCACAAGGCAGGGCACGAAACTATCTAGCGCGGCATGTCAAGGTGGCGACCCCCATCCTTCGTGTGAGTTTCTCCTCCTCCTCCATGCGTCCACCTCCTGCTTTCTCGCGTATCCCGCATCCATCCACCGTCAACCCCTTTGATTAATTTTCTTATACCTCTCCACTCCCCTCCACCTCTTCCCTTCTTTACCCCCACCCCACATCCTTCATCCTGCATCCCTATCCCGATCACACTCATCCTGATCCTCATCATCCTCGTCGTCATCATCACTACCAACAGCTCCACCATCATCAACAACGACGACTACATTAACATCCATATCATCATCACCACCACCCCAGCCACAATCATCTTCATCAGCATCATCATAATCAGTATCATCATCAGTATCAGCATCGTCATCATCGTCGTGGTCATCGTCATCATCATCACCATCACCATCATCATCAATGTCATCATCCTCATCAGCATCATCGTCATCAGCATAATCATCATCAGCATCGTCGACGAGGACAACGACTACGTACGTGACCGTTGTCGTCCCTCCATCATCCCCCTAACCGTTCCGTCGTATTCTCTCCTCTCCTCATCATCCTTCCACCCCATCTGCACGCGCCTCTTCAGTATCATCATCCTGTCCCGCCTCGTCCTCATTATGAGCATCATCCTCATCATGCTTATCAGTAACACCCCTGTCATGATCCACGTCGTCCTACTCATCCTCACCTTCGTCATCATCACCGCCATCATCACCAGCATCAACATTATCATCACAGCCACCATCGCGATCCCATTATGCAGCGCCGCCGACCCCCTCCACTACCAACAACCGTGTCACCAGCATAACCACTATAATCGGCAATGTCGTCAACAACACCGTCGTGGTTGCAGTATTGTTCTTCAACATCGGTAGCAGCAGCCCAATATTCATCCTCGTCGTATCCCTTCTTCTCCTCTTCGTCCTCATACTCCCCATCTTCAGATTCATCACCACCACCATTATCGTAATCAGCAGCATCATCATCAGCAGCAGCATCATCATCGGCATCGTCAGCGTCCTCGACATCGTCATCATCCTCATCGCCACCATCAGCATCACCAGCATGATAATCATCACTGCCAACATCATCGTGATCGCCATCGCCATGATCCTCGTACTCGTTATCTCCCTCGCCCTCCTCCTCCAGACAGAATGTCGCCATCATCCTCTCCTCACCACTCCCCTGTTCCCTCTTCCGCCCCCCATTCACTCCCCTACCCCTGCTCCTACCACCACCACTACTCTCCCCTTCCCTCCCCCCCCACTCCTCCGCCACTACTCTCCCCCCCACTCTCCAGCACTACTCCCCCCTCCTCCTGCTCCTCCGCCTCCCCTTCCCTCCCCCTACCACCACCACTACTATCCTCTTGTCTCCCCTCTTCCTCCTCTTCCTCCTCCGCCTCTTCTGCCTCGTTCCCCTCGGCATCCCCTGCTATCCTGTCCCTCCTGCTCCTCCGCCTCCTCCTCACCATCTTCTGCCGCCTCCTCTCCCTCCTCTTCCGCCTCTCCTCCCCTTGGGCCTGCTCCTCCACTGCCCCCCTTTTCGCCTCCTCGTCCTCCGCCAACTCCTCCCC